ATTTCCCACTGTGTTTTTCTGCCTCCCTGAAATGTCTTCCGTGACCTTCTGACTCTCTCCTTTTCCATCTCATTTCTCTTTGTTTAGAATGAGCAGTGCATATAAGCTACGTTTATGTTTACTGCATGTAAATTACAAATCTCATAGTCCATAGTTTAGAGCGAGCAAGAGAGGATGAATATGCTCCTATATAAAATGGGGCTATGCAGAACGAATATAGCTATCTTCTAACAAGACATCATATAACAGAGAAAAAAACATTTAGAGATTTGGAGGAGGCTGAAAGCACTTCCATTTGTTTTGCTCTCCAGTTTTAGTAAATCAACCCCATAGTTTAGAGTCACTTTAAATGATCATTGTTACAGCCAATGTAGTACTACAAAATTACTTTCGAGCAGTACACATTAGTTGCACACTGCAAATCCCACAGTCCATAGTCCTTCTCAGGAGCGAGCAAATGATGGTGGTTGTGTTCCTACCTACAGTGGGGGCATGGAGTATGAACATAGCCACCCTCTAACAGGAAGTCAGATAACAGCCAAAAAAAAAGGAATTTGGAGAACTGAGGGTGGCTGAGACTGATAGAAGACACTTTTTTAATATATACTTGAATAGAACATTTTTTTTGTAATCCAGAGTTTTGTGTCCCTTTAAACCATCGTCACTCTGATTAGCTCCTGCTCTCAGACCAAGACTTCAGCTGTCAGACTGACAGAAGGGGGCATGTATGGGAAGAACATGGGGGAATAGGGCAAATGTTTATAATGCCTTTGAGATTGCTTGACAGCAAGGTTCTCAATGGTCAATCTGTCTAATCCACTTTTTGTGCAATTACCTGTAAAAATCAGTCAAAAGCATTTTCTTTTAATCTTCACTCTGCTTTTTCTGGTTGAAATAAAGCTGATTTCTGAAAAGAGCTGAGAATCTTCATTTAACACATTGTAGCTGTGTCCACTCTAGTCATGCGGAGATGAAACACAGGAATTTGGGATTGGATAATTGATGTGAAGCTTCACTCATTTTATTGAGTGGAAATTCTCAACTCCTTAAACTATAACTAAAGGCAAAAGTTTTTTTTTTTAATTTTGGATAAAATGCTGAAGGATTATTATTATTATACAGGATTTATATAGCGCCAACAGTTTGCGCAGCACTTTACAATATAAAGGGAGACAATACAGCAACAATACAGTTCAATACAAGAGGGTTAGGAGCTTACAATCTAAGAGGGAGGGGCTGGTGGTACAAAAGGTAATAACTGTGGAGGATGAACTGATAGGAGGTATAGAAGATTCCGTTATTAGCTGAAGGTGGGATTTTCTTCCATGAAGAGATAGGTTTTCATAGATCGTCTAAAAGTGGGCACAGTAGGCAATAGTTGGATAGATTGGGGTAGGGAGTTCCAGAGGATGGTGCAGGCTCTGGAGAAATCCTGGAGACGAGCATGGGAGGAGGATAAAAGGGAGCTAGAGAGCAGGAGGTCATGAGAGGAGCGGAGAGGACAGCTTGGGTATTATTTGGGGACCAGATTGGTGATGGAATTTGGGGCAGAATTATAAATGGCTTTATATGTTATTGTTAATGTTTTGAATTTAATTGGTTGGGCAATGTGAAGCCAGTGGAGGGATTGGCAGAGAGGGATGGCAGATATGAAACGGTTAGTAAGGTGGATGAGTCTGGCAGCAGCATTCATGATAGACTGAAGAGGGGATAGCCTGCGATGAGGTAGGCCAATGAGGAGGGAGTTACAATATTCAAGGCAAGAGATAACAAGGGAGTGAATAAGTTGTTTAGTGGTTTCAGAGGTTAAGAACAGACGTATCTTGGAGATGTTGCGGATGTGAAGTCTACAAGATTTGGACAGTGATTGGATTTGGGGCTGAAAGGACAGATGGGAGTCTAGGATTACACCTAGTACCCTGGCATGAAGGGAGGGACTGATGGTTGCATTATTGATCTTGATGGAGAAGTCAGGGGAGGGGGCACGGGCTGGAGGGAATAGTATGAGCTCCATTTTGGAAAGATTTAGTTTGAGGAAGTGGAGTGACATCCGTGCTGATATGTCACTTAGTAGGTTAGTAATGTGAGAGGAGACTAAAGGGGTGAGGTGAGGTAGACAGATAGATTTGTGTGTCATCAGCATAGTGCTGGTACTTAAAGCCATGGGAGTTTATCAAGTGACCAAGGGAGGATGTGTATAATGCTGTCTGTGTCTTTGTTAGGTAGATTCACCCTCTCCATTTGTCCTGTTTGCCATTATCACTGAAAGTGAAAGTAAAAGAAAATCCCAAATTTTGGGTTGTCCCCAAAAAAGTAATAGAGGGGAAATCTCTCTAAATACTAATACTGTATATAAATAATTTCCTCCTGATGAAGCCATGTGACCTGGTGGAGCAACGCGTAGAAGAGGGGCTCTGACGTCACGACGCTTAAAGGCAACATTGTGGATTGATTTTACAATGTTTTAAAGTGATTTTAACCTGTATTACATGTGAGTGTACTACTTTATTTAATAAATGTTTTAAAAAGAAGATAAGGCACTATATTCTTTATTACTCTTTATGGCGCTTATACCTATGGAGGAAGAGTCCTAAGGAAGTGAGGAGACCCCTAGCTGTGAAGAGGGATATTTCCATCCATCTCTAAGTCCAATTAAAGGGACACAAGCCTTATATGACCTCATTTAATGGTTTGGTCATATACAGTGGGGATTGAAAGTTTGGGCACCCCAGCTAAAAATTTGTATTAATGTGCATAAAGAAGCCAAGGAAAGATGGAAAAATCTCCAAAAGGTATCAGATTACAGATTAGACATTCTTATAATATGTCAACAAAAGTTAGATTTTATTTCCATCATTTACACTTTCAAAATAACAGAAAACAAAAAAATGGCGTCTGCAAAAGTTTGGGCACCCTGCAGAATTTATAGCATGCACTGCCCCCTTTGCCAAGCTGAGACCTGCCAGTGTCATGGATTGTTCTCAATCATCGTCTGGGAAGACAAGGTGATGTCAATCTCAAAGGTTTTAAATGCCCAGACTCATCTGACCTTGCCCCAACAATCAGCACCATGGGTTCTTCTAAGCAGTTGTCTAGAAAACTGAAACTGAAACTGAAAATAGTTGACGCTCACAAAGCTGGAGAAGGCTATAAGAAGATAGCAAAGCGTTTTCAGATGTCAATATCCTCTGTTCGGAATGGAATTAAGAAATGGCAGTCATCAGGAACAGTGGAAGTTAAAGCAAGATCTGGAAGACCAAGAAAAATATCAGACAGAACAGCTCGCAGGATTGTGAGAAAAACAATTCAAAACCCACATTTGACTGCACGATCCCTCCAGAAAGATCTGGCAGACACTGGAGTTGTGGTACACTATTCCACTATAAAGAGATACTTGTACAAATATGGTCTTCATGGAAGAGTCATCAGAAGAAAACCTCTTCTACGTCCTCACCACAAAAATCATCGTTTGAACTTTGCAAATGAACATATAGACAAGCCTGATGCATTTTGGAAACAAGCTCTGTGGACCGATGAGAGTAAAATTGAACTTTTTGGCCGGAATGAGCAAAGGTACGTTTGGAGAAGAAGGGGCACAGAATTTAATGAAAAGAACCTCTGTCCAACTGTTAAGCATGGGGTTGGATCAATCATGCTTTGGGGTTGTGTTGCAGCCAGTGGCACAGGGAACATCTCACGAGTAGAAGGAAAAATGGATTCAATAAAATTTCAGCAAATTTTGGATGGTAACTTGATGCCATCTGTGAAAAAGCTGAAGTTAAAGAGAGGATGGCTTCTACAAATGGATAATGAGCCTAAACACACCTCAAAATCCACGGGGGATTACATCGAGAGGCGTAAACAGAAGGTTTTGCCATGGCCTTCACAATCTCCTGACCTCAACATAATTGAAAATCTATGGAGACCTTAAAAGAGCAGTGCGTGACAGACAGCCCAGAAATCTCAAAGAACTGGAAGACTTTTGTAAGGAAGAATGGGCAAAGATACCTCAAACAAGAATTGAAAGACTCTTGGCTGGCTACAAAAAGCGTTTACAAGCTGTGATACTTGCCAAAGGGGGCAGTACAAGATATTAACTCTGCAGGGTGCCCAAACTTTTGCAGACAGACGCCATTTTTTTGTTTTCTGTTATTTTGAAAGTGTAAATGATGGAAATAAAATCTAACTTTTGTTGACATATTATAAGAATGTCTAATCTGTAATTTGATGCCTTTTGGAGATTTTTCCATCTTTCCTTGGCTTCTTTATGCACATTAATACAAATGTTTAGCTGGGGTGCCCAAACTTTCGATCCCCACTGTATATGCCAGGTGAGAGCACAGACGGTGAAGGTGCACATTTTTATGACTGGTGGATTGCACGCAAATCATTTCTTATCACATCACTAGAAGGAATGTCAAAGTCACGGATTGATTAAGGACATTTTTTGCAGCAGAAGTATGATTGTATTATCACATATAATTTGTTGTTGGACTGTTTTGTATTTATTCATTATTTCTTCCCTCTCTATTGCAATTGTCAGTGGAGCGCGACACTGTTTATAATTTTTGGTTTTACTATGGCACGTTGGTATGAGTATGTGTAGAGTGTGGGCGACCCACTTATTTTATTTCAGTTATATTTTATTTCAACTATTTTAATTTTATTGGGAAAATTTACAATATTTTTTGCACCACAGTAGCTCACAAGACCCCACTTTTTAAGCATATAAATACCCCTTTTCCACCAATAAAAAATACAATATTGTCTTTTTATTGTGGAAAAAGGGTATTTATATATGTGTGTGATTTGTTTATACTATTTACATTCAATATTTGACATGTAGAATGATATTTCGTATTTACGTAAAGTATAATAAACCGCCTCCCGCCCGCCATATAGTAATATGACGGACGCAAGGCAGTTCTCTCTTTCTGGGAGGACGTCATATGACGTTCTCCCATTCTAACCACGCATGCGCGGCTCCCGGAGCGCGCATTGCGGCAATTGGCAGTGCGCTGTGTCCCTCGGACACAGCGGATCATCGATCCTCGGAAAGAGCCGAAGATGTCGGCTCAGTCATGTGATCAGCTGTCTCCAATCACAGCTGATCACATGTAAACAGGGAAATGCCGGTTATCTGCATTTCTCTCCCCACGAGCTGTCACGCTGAAAGCTCATGAGGAGAGGAGAGCCGGTAATCGGCATTCCTCGGAGGGGACATGTACACTGATCATCAGAGCACTGATGATCAGTGTGCCCTGATGATCTGTGTAGCCCCAGCAGTGACACCTGTCAGTGTCCATCCGTACCAGCTCTCAGTGCTCATCCATGCCACCTGCCAGTGCCACATCAGTGCCACATTTCAGTGCCCATCAGTGCCACATCAATGCCACATATCAGTGCCCATCTGAGCTGCCTTTCAGTGGCACCCATCAGTGCCAGTCAGTGCCACCTATCAATGCCAGTCAGTACCACCTATCAGTGCTGCCAATCAGTGCCAGCTATCAGTGCCAGTCAGTGCCACCTATCAGTGTGCATCAATGCCGCCTATCAGTGTCCATCAGTGCTGCCTAACAGTGCCAGTCAATGACACCTAACAGTGCCAGTCAGTGCCGCCTATCAGTGTCAGTCAGTGCCGCCCATCAGTGCCATATATCAGCGCTGCCTTTCAGTGTCCATCAGTGATGCCTGACAATGCCCATCAGTGCCACCTACCAGTGCCTGCTCATCAATGCCCATCAGTGCCACCTATCAGTGTCCATCAGTGCAGCCTATCAGTGCCCATCAGTGCAGCCTCATTAGCGCACATCAGTGAAGGAGAAAAATCACTTATTTACAAAATTTTATAACAAAAACTAAGAAAAAACTTTTTTTCCAAAATGGTCAGTGGTTTTTGGTTTGTATAAGAAAAAAAAACCCCAGAGGTGACTAAATACCACCAAAATAAAGCTCTATCTGTCACGAAAAAATGATAAAAATTTCATATGGGTACAAGGTTGCATGACCGTGCAATTGTCATTCAAAATGCAACTGCGCTGAAAGCTGGAAATTGGCCTGGGCAGGAAGGGGGTATAAGTGCCCTGTAGGCTAGTGGTTAAAGGAAAAACTTTTTTTTAAGTTTTGGATAGTGTGGAGAGGTATATGAACACCTATTAGGTTTTTGCTGCTGTCTGTCCCCATTAGAGAGATTCATCCTCTCTAGTTGTCCTGTTTACCATTATCATTGAAAGTGAAAGTAAAAGAAAAGCCCAAATTTACGGTTGTCCCCAGAACAGTAATAGAGGGGAAATCTCCCAATGAGGACCTGGGGTTCCCCTGCAAATCCCCTTACTTTTCAGGGAATTCCTCTCACTTCCTGTTTGGCTATGGGACAGGATGTGAAGGGAAATCTCTGCAATGAGAGACAGATGGCGAAAACATTTCTGACAGAGGGTTATAACCCTTCCTTGCTCTATCGAAAATTGAAAAAAGTTTTGCCAGCCCAGTGGTCTGAACAAAAAAATAAGAAAGAAAGCTCGGGAGAAGATCCTGTACTAAAAACCGGCCAGCTAAGCTATTGTGTTCTGACAGGTGGATGCCCCCCACACCCCAGTCAGCACTCTTAGCCACTGAGCCCCTTAGTCAAAGCTGCATGTTAGCCCGACTTCTGTCGGACCAGCTGCCATGGTTGGTTTCTATTGAACTGGCCGAAGCAGCCCAATATTCGTTGCCCGCTGGCAACACATGGATTGAAATTCGGCTGGTTCATGAGAAATTGATCTATCAATTGACTCCTCATGAACGGTCCTGCTGGAAAATTTCTAATTGATCAGAGCTTGCAGCCACTTGGCTGCAACTCCGATCAAAGTATTCTGACAGCGAGGAAGTCCCGCTGCCAGAATACAATGACACAGTGGGGAGGATTCCAGTATACACATTAAATGTGTGGACGGGGGAATCAATTCATTTTTTTTCTTCATCCTGCTAGCTGAACAAAAAAAATCAGCATCAGGTATGGCCAGCTTTACAGTGGCAAATGTAACAAAAAGGTGGAGGTTCTTTCACCTGATATATATATATATATATATATATATATACAGGTGAAACTCAAAAAAATTAGAATATTGTGCAAAAGTTCATTTATTTCAGTAATGCAACTTAAAAGGTGAAACTAATATATGAGATAGACTCATTACATGCAAAGCAAGATAGTGCAAGCCGTGATTTGTCATAACTGTGATGATTATGGCTTACAGCTCATGAAAACCCCAAATCCACAATCTCAGAAAATTAGAATATTGTGAAAAGGTGCAATATTCTAGGCTCAAAGTGTCCCACTCTAATCAGCTAATTAAGCCATAACACCTGCAAAGGGTTCCTGAGCCTTTAAATGGTCTCTCAGTCTGGTTCAGTAGGAATCACAATCATGGGAAAGACTGCTGACCTGACAGTTGTGCAGAAAACCATCATTGACACCCTCCATAAGGAAGGAAAGCCTCAAAAGGTAATTGCAAAAGAAGTTGGATGTTCCCAAAGTGCTGTATCAAAGCACATTAATAGAAAGTTATGTGGAAGGGAAAAGTGTGGAAGAAAAAGGTGCACAAGCAGCAGGGATGACCGCAGCAGGGATGACCGCAGACTGGAGAGGATTGTCAGGAAAAGGCCAATCAAAAGTGTTGGGGACTTTCACAAGGAGTGGACTGAGGCTGGAGTCAGTGCATCATGAGCCACCACACACAGACAGATCCTGGACATGGGCTTCAAATGTCGTATTCCTCTTGTCAAGCCGCTCCTGAACAACAAACAATGTCAGAAGCGTCTCACCTGGGCTAAAGAAAAACAGACCTGGTCTGTTGCCCAGTGGTCCAAAGTCCTCTTTTCTGATGAGAGCAACTTTTGCATCTCATTTGGAAACCAAGGACCCAGAGTATGGAGGAAGAATGGAGAGGCACACACGGCAAAATGCTTGAAGTCCAGTGTGAAGTTTCCACAGTCTGTGTTGATTTGGGGAGCCATGTCATCTGCTGGTGTTGGTCCAGGGTCAACACAGCCATCTACCAGGAGATTTTGGAGCACTTCATGCTTCCTTCCGTAGACCAGCTTTTTGGGGATGCTGACTTCATTTTCCAGCAGGACTTGGCACCTGCCCACACTGCCAAAAGCACCAAAACCTGGTTCAATGACCGTGGGATTACTGTGCTTGACTGGCCAGCAAACTCGCCTGACCTGAAACCCATAGAGAATCTATGAGGCATTGCCAAGAGAAAGATGAGAGACATGAGACCGAACAATGCAGAAGAGCTGAAGGCCACTATTGAAGCATCCTGGTCTTCCATAACACCTCAGCAGTGCCACAGGCTGATAGCTTCCATGCCAAGCCACATTGAGGCAGTAATTGCTGCAAAAGGGGCCCAAACCAAGTACTGAGTGCATATGAATGCTTATACTTTTCAGAGGTCCGATATTGTTTTATGTACAATCCTTGTTTTATTGATTGCATGTAATATTCTAATTTTCTGAGATTGTGGATTTGGGGTTTTCATGAGCTGTAAGCCATAATCATCACAATTATGACAAATCACAGCTTGAACTATCTTGCTTTGCATGTAATGAGTCTATCTCATATATTAGTTCACTTTTTAAGTTGCATTACTGAAATAAATGAACTTTTGCACAATATTCTAATTTTTCGAGTTTCACCTGTATATGCGCGTCAGGCAATCTCCTCATTATTACATATCATTAAGTTGAAATGCCGTGTTCTATGCCCTGCCTTGGCAGGATAGATGAATAGTAGTATATACAGTAGATTAGTGGCTTAGTGATTAGCACATCTGCCTTACAGCATTAAGTTCCATTTGCTTGATTCCCAACGTGAATATCACAATGTCATCTCCATGGAGTTTGCATGTTCTCCATGTGCTTATGTGGTTTATGAAGTTTTCCTCCCAGAACTTCGGTTTCCACCCACTCTCCAAAGACATGTTGTTATGCTAATTGGCTCCTGTCTAAGTTGTCCCCAATATGTGTATGTATGAATGCATATGAGTTAAACAGCCCATACATTAGTACAGAATCATTTTTTCGTTCAACCAGCTGGTTGAATGAAAAAAAATGCCTTGAATCCCCCCTTCATACACTCAAGGTGAATGGAGGAATCTTCCCAATGAGCTTTTGTATTCTGACAGTGGGGAGACTTTCCTGCCATAACAATACACTGATCAGCACTGCCAGCTGTAGCCTGTGACGCTGATCGAGTGGATACAATACAACAGGCTGGTTGTACAAAAGCTGACCAGCTGGTTGAATGGAAAAAAAAATGACTTAATACCCCCTTCATACATTCGAGGTGAATGGAGGAATCTTCCCACTGAGCTATTGTATTCTGACAGCAGGGAGACTTCCCTGCCATAAAAATACGCTGATCAGCACTGCTGGCTGTAGCCTGTGGTGCTGATCGAGTGGATAAAATACAACAGGCTGGTTGTACAAAAGTTGATCAGCTGGTTGAATGAAAAAAAATGACTCGATACTCCCCTTTATACACTCGAGGTGAATGGAGGAATCTTCCCACTGAGCTAATGTATTCTGACAGCGGGGAGACTTCCCTGCCATAAAAATACACTGATCAGCACAGCTGGCTGTAGCCTGTGACGCTGATAGAGTGGATAAAATATGACAGGCTGGTTGTGCAGATGCTGATCTGTAAATCAACTTTTTACAACTAGCCTATTCATACATTGATCAAAATGTGGGTGGTCCCTGCTGAACCGACCAAATGTCAGTCCATGTGTGGCTGGCTTTAGGGACCTCAGATTGTAGGGGCAAGGACTGACATTGGCATACAATATACAGTATATGTAGAGTGCTGCATAAATTGTTGGCACTATATAAATACCTGTAATGTTTGCTCTTTGCTCTAACTTGCTGTCCATGATGAAATACCAGACGTGGTACCGCAGAGCATCAGAATAGCACCAGTTTCACAGCTTCTGATGTACAGAGTACGGTGTCTTTTTGGCACACTGACTTATGAAGGTCGGTGGTCCTTGTGACTGTGCATGCAGCCTTTTGCTCGAAATTTTTTGATACCACCTCGTTCTTAGCAGAGTAAACATTCATTTTGCTAAGTGAACAGCATCAGCCCAAATGTGCTGATTTATGTTTTCTGGCTTTGTTCATTTTGGTATTACTCTCCTTGCAGTTTGTTTGATGAAAGGTTAACGTGATTGCAAACTCTGTCTTTTTTGTAAATAACAAAAGGGGTTATACTTACCTGCTTTGTGCAATGGAAATGCACAGAGTGGCCTGAACCTTCTTTTTAGTGGGTTGTAATAGCTCTATGATATGTGTACTATGACACAACTTAGTCTGCGTTGTTACATTATATTTGTTTGGTCTGTTTCTGTATTATTTGTATCAGGAGGAACAGATACAGCCAGACTCTCACACTCTGAATGAATCATGTTACAGAATTTCCCCTGGCAAAATAAATCGTTTTCACTTTCACTGCTGTCACACTGATTGTCACCTAAATAGATTTCTCATCTTTATTTTTCTGGATCCCAAGAAGAAATATGGATAACACATTGCTTCAAGGTCTTCCTTTCAGTAAAGATTGCAGGTTTACAAA